CGATAGTGGCCAGGAGGACATGAAGTAAAGTGGTTCGGCGGTGGGGGGGAGGGGAGGGAGTGGGGGGGGAAACAGAGACAGCAAGAGAGAGGGAAAAGTAAGTAAAGGCAAACAAAAAATAAATTAAAAAATATATAAATGAGAATTATATAATTATATAAATTATTAACTTTTCAAAAAAAAAAATTCTAAATTTTTTGAAATTTTTTTTGGAAAAAATTAAAAAAACATTTTTTTTAAAAAAATATTTTCAAAAAAATTTGAGAATTTTTTTTTAAACTTTTTTTTAAATCTTTTTTTTTTAAATGTTTTTTGAAAAAAACTTAGAAAAAAAGATTTTAGGAAAAAAAAAATTTGAAAAAATTTTAGAAAAAGATTTTTTGGAAAAGATTTCCATCCATCCATCCATTTTCATCCTCTTATCCGTTACCGGGTCGCGGGGCAGCAGTCGCCACCCACATCACATTCCACCGTACCAACCCCCTAAACCTTCCTACTGCGGTGTACTGTACTGGACTGTACTGTACTGTCCTGTACTGTACTGTACTGTAGTGCGGTGTACTGTACTGTACCGAGTGGTGACTAACACAAACCAGATCAGTCCGGTCGCGGCTGAACTCACCAGGTAAGCACAGAGCATGAAGAAGCTGATGAAGTAGACGTAGGACAAGTTGCTGCCACAGGTGAACTCTTCTCCCGGTTCGATGTCTGCCTCCGGGTCACAGCGTCTGCCGGGCAGAGCCGCCAACATGATCTCCTGCCACTGTTCTCCGGTGGCACATCTTTGTGGAGGAAAAATCATATCATCAAATCAAAAAGTATTTCCTTCTGAATGAACCATAGTAGAGAAAAACACTGGAGACGTCTCTCTCCAACAAACGTTACGGTTGCGCGACCCTAAAGTCGACGTAGGCCACAATAACGGTTGACGACGGCGCCACCAGCTGGAGGCCGGACGCTATTACCACTCAGAAAAAAAATAGTAAAACAACAATAAAAACGTATTCACTGTCACTGGACCGGACAAATTGTCATTAAAAAAAGTGGATTAACTTTTGACAGAAAAAATACACATTATAAAGTGAGTCAGGAGTAAAGAAAAAAAAATTACAGATATTTAACACTGCAAAAATATTTACTGATTTCATTATTTTAAAACTTGGAGTTTTGTGAATTTAATCTATTTTTTCAAACAGTTAAAACAACTGTTATATTTGCCTGACCTCTGACCCCTGACTGAAGCGTCTCACCTGAAGAGCACCAGAACAGCCATGAAGAAAGTCTGGAAGTTACAGTTCCTGTTGATCTCCGTGTTGTCGTCAACAGCGACTTTCCCAAATGTCTGGAAGCAGAAAAGTGTTAGAGGTCATTTCAGTAAAAAAAACTAAGAAGATCCAAGGTTCAAGCTTCGATTTTAAATCAAAACTTAAATAATTCAATTCAGTTGGAGACCATATCTGTCCTTTAGAAAAGTGCCAGATCAATAATTCCAGTCGTACCTGCATACCAATCACGGCGTAGATGAAAAAGATCATGGCGATGAGCAGACCGACGTAAGGCAGAGCCTGAGGAAATGAAGACGGGATTAAAACTCACGTCAACAAACTGAAAAAACACACCTTTTATTTATGAGACTTTTTTTTCTCACCTGCAGGGACTTGACAAAAGTCCAGAGGAGCGTTCGGATGCCCTCTCCTTTACTGAGCAGTTTGACCAACCTCAAGACTCGGAACAATCGGAAGAAGGTAATTGACACTTTTCCACTTTCACCTTTGCCCTGGACAAACAAACAAACAAATAAATAAATAAATACAGCAGCTTTGTGTTTCAGAGATGTCGTTCGTCGTAACCTGTGTTTGTTGTTGTGATCTTACCTCACCGTGACCGTGGCCTCCTCCCTGCATCAACAAAGAAAGAGAGAGAGACCGTGACAAAAGCATAGAGAAAGGTGAACGTTTTTGTTCAACATAAATACAGCATAATACTACAGTTAAACCACGAGTACAAATCATTTTTTCCACTCATTCTTCAATGATCAACTAAATAACTTAATGAATGAAAAAAAAAATTTAAAAAAATACATCAAAAAATGTCATTATTATTCATGGGCCAATGAGTAAGGTTCGCGGGCCAGAAGTGGTCCCCGGGCCAGAGTTTGGGACCCCTGCTATACAGGATTGTTTGGAACTGGAGCAATTCCGAGTCATTAAGCAAAACTACTTGAAACACGTGAATGATTATCCGATATTTTAAATATATGTTTAAACATATATTCATATATATATTTATATATATTTTGCACAGTAACGGGCTTCAGTTGCCCAGAGAAACAAACTTACACTGAACTCTGACACTGCTATGTCCAGAACGCTCCCCACCACAATCAGTGCATCAAAGGAATTCCATGGATCAATAAAGTAATGCTGCAAAAAATGAGAGGAAAAAAAAAACTCATCAGGACAAAGACGACGGACGGACGACTGTTGTTGTTCATGTTGGTGTTGGTTGAAAAGGCCTCACGTGAGCGCGCAGAGCCAAGAGTTTAATGATCATCTCGATGGTGAAGACCACGGTGAAGATCATGTTGAGGATGTCCATGACGGAGGTGAAGAGTTTGGACTGTTCGTAATGCTGACGGAGAGACACAGTCAAACAGTCAAATATATATCAAATATAACAATGTATTTATGTGTGTGTGTGTGTGTGTGAGGCGGTACCTGGATGGCCAGAGTCAGCGTGTTCCCCAGGATCAGCACAAACATGATGTATTCAAACTGACTGGAGTTGATTATTCTCCAGAACTTGAGCTGCGATGGGTTTTTGGGGATGTAAATTTTTATAGGTTGGGCTTTCAGAGCGTAGTACACACACTGGCGCTGCACGGGGGTGAAAGAAGATTAAACACGCGTTAGGATAAAAAAAAATAAAATCATAGCATCATAGCATAGCATCATCATCCAAACATCCGACCTGATTTTTGTTCAGCTCACAGTTCTTGAACTCGGCCTCTCCCTGTTCTCGAAACGTGATGATGACAAAACCCACGAAAATGTTCATCATGAAGAAGGCGATGATGATGATGTAGATGATGAAGAAGATGGAGATCTCCACCCTGTAGTTGTAAATGGGGCCGCGGTTTATGGCATTGGCGTCGACGGCACGGTAGAGGAGCCTTTGGTGAAGAGGAGGAGACAAATATGAACAAAAATTAAACATCATATCAAACAAGCTACATAGAAAACAACCAAAAGTAACTGTACACTGAATTGTTGTACCACTAGAGGGCGACAGTTGTGTTTTGTCGACGTAAGAAAATACAGAATTCTCCTCCATAATTTGTTTAACAATCCTCAAGTTATTGTTTGTGATTACGTTAAACAGTTTTTTAAAAATTATTTCCTTCCTTTATTTTTTTTTATTTATTGTTTTTAAGGATAAGAATGTAAACTTTTCCTTTTCCTGGTGCCCTCAGAGGAACTTACTGTGGCCAACCCTCAAACGTTGACACGGTGAACAGAGCCAACATGCCGTTCAGCACGTTGTCAAAGTTGAAGTCACTGTTTTGCCAGATTCTCTCTCTGACCATCGGGTGGTTCATGTCGCCGTCTTTGTAGACGACAAACGTCCCCCTGAGATCACACACACACACACACACTAGTGAATATCCAGCAGTATTTTCAAAGTCATGGAGACAGTAGCATACGTAGTATTAGCATCACGGTGCTAACACCGTGGAGGTGATAAGAACTGACTTGCACTCGTCGGGGGTGTGTTTGGCTTCATCTGTGCAGCTGTAGAATCTGCCCTGTAAAAAAAAAAAAAAAAAATCACACACCGGTTAAAAACCAGTATAAACCACAGACCAAACGGCTGCAGTGGAACAGCAGGAGCCGTCACCTTGAAGAGCTGCACTCCAATACAGGCGAACATGAACTGGAGGAGAGTCGTGACGATCAGGATGTTACCGATGGTGCGGATCGCCACAAACACACACTGGACCACGTTCTGTGGGAGCAGCAGATACAGTCAACGGGTCAGCTCGTAAAAAACACACACACCTCAGACTTTGAGTTAATGATCTCATCAGTCTGGATTATCATTTTCTTCAATTAAAATCCTATTTAGAAGAAAATGGATGATAAAGTCTATAGACAGAGAGACAGACTAATTTGTCTTGAAAATTTGTCTTAGATTAAATTGAAAATATGGAATTCATCTAACATATATATGACATACATATTATAAATACTTTTAAGACTGCAAGCTAAGTTTTATTAAGGATGTTCCTTATTTTTCTTTTACTTCTAGAAACTTCTCTGTACCTTCAGTCCTTTGGCTCTGTTGATGGCTCGGAGAGGCCTGAGCACACGCAGCACACGGAGAATCTTCACCACAGAGATCGCACTTGAACTGGAAACAAAAAATAAATTTGAAGAAGTTTTGAAGCAGAATGTGAAAAGAAATCAAATAAAAATGTAAGTTCTTATAGAAACATCAATAGTTTAATTTGTCGCTGTTAATAATGGATGGTTGTTCATCCCAACATGTGACTTGGTGTGACCCGATTATTTTTCTTAAAAGACAGCTTGAGGTCTGGACACTCAAATAAACAAAATAATAATCACATTTTTGTCAACATTATTTATTTATCATAAAATCCAATCACGGGCCAGACCGGACGGTTCAGCGGACTGCATCCAGTCCACGAGCCACCAGTTGATGATCACTAAGCTAGAGTTTGAGTTTTGAGCCTCGTCTACTCACTGCAGGAAGAAGGAGGTCAGAGACACGCTGACCACCAGCAGGTCCAGGAGGTTGAAGGCGTTTCTGCAGAAGGAGCCGGTGTGGAGAAACGCTCCATAAACCGTCATCTTAACACCAGAAACACGGGGGGAAAAAAAACAGAACAGAAAGAAAACATTAACATCCTCCAACCACCGCTGCTTCAGCCACGTTTGTTTCAGCCAGCGTGACCTCCACCTTCAGAACGATCTCCACCGTGAAGACGGACGTGAACACGTAATCAGCATAACCCAGCACCTGAGGACGGAGACGTTATGGTGACGGAGACAAAGAAGGAGAGGAAACGCAGAGGACGTGCGTCTGATGTGAGTGGTCTTACGATGTTTCTGAAGGAGTGGGATTTGATTGGATCCTCGGCGGCCAATGAAATACTGCTGAAGATGATGAAGATGAGGATGAAGTTGGTGAAGTAGTGGTGATGGATGAGGTTGTGGCAGGCGACTCGCAAACTGCAAACGGAAAATGGAAGGAGGTGACGTAGAGGTCAGGGGTTTGAGCAAAACTGTTCGACACGTGAAAAGGTTCTGAAGTAACGTTAGCATAGCTCAGGGGTTCTCAAAGTGTGGGGCGGGCCCCAGTGGTGTGACATGGAGATATGAAAGTTTTTTAAGGTTGAAGTGATGATGACACAACTGTATTTTTATTCATTTTTTACTTTGTGTTATTTGATGTAATTGTTCAAGATTCTTATTGGGGTAACGGGGGCCACGTTGACCGGTGCCGTCCGTCGTCACGGTGAATCCCATCGCTCTCACCCTCCAGTCCCTCGATTGCCCTCAGCTCCTCGTTCTCCTGCCAGTCGTCTTCTTCGTTCTACAGACAGAAACACGTCAACTCCAGCACTCTCTCTCTGTGTGTGAGAAAAACAAACATCTCTTTATTTACCCCTGCATCTTCATCCTCCTTCTCGTTATCTTCATCCCACTCTTCCTCTTCTTCCTTTTTCTCTCTTGGAAAAAAAGAGAAAAATAAATAAATAAAAAATCAGATTTTACAAGAAAACCGTTGAGGAAGAATAGGAGCAAAAACACAAGCGCTCACTCCACATTCTTCTTCCCTCCTCCTCCTGCCAGGTTGTCCACGGCGATAGCCAGGAAGACGTTGAGCAGGATGTCTGATCGCAGAGAGTTAGGGATCGACGAGTTATGGTCGGATTCACCAACAAACAAACGTCTGTTGCATTTGTCGTCAATCACTTGTTAGGAAAGGATACAGTTGCCGCAGACGAAGAGGATGACGAAGTAAATGCACACCACCATGTTGGGGAAGATGGGACCGCCGTAGGCCATGATGCCGTCGTACATCACGGCGTTCCAGTCCTCACCGGTCAGAATCTGAAAAGACAGAATATTTAATATGTTCCACGGTGGAACCAGAGAGTCGACTACAGACAATAAAAAAGTGGCTGCAACATTAAAAATGATGACACAAAGAATTTGCCATCGTTGCTCTTTATCTCCACTTTTCCTAGTGGTTTGTGCAGGTATTGCACGAGGACAAATTTTAATTTATACTTTAGAAAAGTCTAGGGAATCTCAGGATGACGTGTCCGTCTTATTTTATATTATCAATAAATTTGTTTATATCTATGTTATTGTTGTTTAAATGGTGGGGAATTTTAATTTAATTAATTAATAGTATATTTCTGCTGAGGCTGGAATGAATTCATTGGCTTTTAGTTATTTTTAATTAATTTATTTTGATTTTTAAATCACCTGGAAACAGGTGAGAAGAGCCTGAGGGAAGGAATCAAAGGTGCTTCTCTTCATCTGCATCTCGTCAAAGTTGAATTTCCCTCCAAACAGCTGCATTCCCAGCAGAGCAAAGATGATGAGGAAGAGGAAGAGCAGGAGAAGAAGGGAGCAGATGGCCTTCATGGAGTTGAGCAGTGAGTTGACCAGGTCAGACAGAGCAGCCCAGTGTCTGGAAATGAGATGAAAAAAACTTCAGGAAAAACACGCAGCGTTTAGCAGGATGAGAGCTGCTGAGATTGTAGGAGGGTTTTACCGAGTCATCTTAAATATCCTCAGCAGTCGGATGCAACGCAGCACGGAGATGCCGATGGGTGGGATGGTATCGAACTCCACCAGGAGAGTCTCCAGGATGCCGCCGCACACCACGAAGCAGTCGAAGCGGTTGAAGAGAGCCATGAAGTAGATCTGCAGACCGAAGGCGTACATTTTCATCAGCATCTCCAGAGTGAACAGCAGCAGCAGGATCTTGTTGGCTCTCTCTGCAGGACAACAAACAAACACAGATGATGGAGGGACATTTTTATTTATTTTATTTTTATTAAAGCAGTCAGTCGATGAAAGTAAATCACTTTTAAATACAAAAAAAAATGTATCTGTTCTAAAATGTTAGACTAACAGCATAATCGCCTAAGTCATATTGTAAGGTTTAGGGTTAAAAAAAAAGAAATCAGTAATATCGCCCAACCGATATTATTGGCCGATATTAGCATAATTATGTAACATCGGTAAGAATCGTAAAAGTGAATTATTGTCATTGCGACACAATGAAATGTGACCTCTGCCTTTAACCCAAACGCTGCATATATCGGTATCGGTTGATAGAATCAGAAATTAAGTGTTTGGACAATATGGGCAAAAAGTTATTATCGTTTGATAATGGTCAAAATTTGTATGAACAAATGTATTTAAAAAAAGCACAAGCAACTTAAGATACTAACAAAATATATCTATACATTTTTTTACTCAAGTTTATAATCTCCTTATAAATATATCGGAATTGACAAATGTTTGCTTTGTGCAAACGTCCTTTTATGTCCGTTATTTCAACAATCATAAAAAGGGAAATATATGAAAGTGTTGTAGTGAATATTAAAAAGAAATATTGTAGCATGTTCTCTGGGCATGTCATTTTCTTAGTTTTATTTTTACCGATCGCTTATTTGAAAAGTCCGTGAAACAACTTTAAAATTAAATTCACACAAACACATCCGTCCTCTCACCTTGCATCTCCGTGAGCCACTTGGGCTGGCCGTAATGCTCCGAGGCACTGGCCACCGTGTTGAGGAACACCAGCAGGAGCACCAGCCAGTAGAAGTTTGTGGTCTTCACGGCCACACGGCAGTTCTTCCTGAAGGTGTGATTCAGCTGACACAGCTGGTCACTAAGGACAGAGGAGACAAGGTGGCATATGTACATATCTAAATCTTATGACTATGACACTGAGATAGTCTGTGTGTAAAGGTGAAAATCTTACCAGAAGCTATTTGCCATCATCTTTGCCCTGAGAACACAAAACCATGAGGAGTCAATCTGGAGTTTGGTTCTCACAAAGATGGAGTCAAAAAATGGAGTCAAAAATACTTTCGTGTTTCCTCACATTAGAGAAGCGCAGCAGCCGTTGTCGTCGTCGAGGTAGGCTATATCGTCATCTGAGTCCGACTCTGTCGACCACAGTGACCAGTTAATGACGTCACAGTGAGAATTCTGTCACCAGAAGAACACGACGGTGTCTGACTCACCTCCACCGTCCTCGCTGTGTTTGTACCAGCCGAACTTCTTCATCATTTTCTTCTTTGCGATCGCGGCGCCTTTAAAGAAAAAGAAAAAAAAAAAAAAGAAAGAAAGTGAACTCCTTGTCATTGTGACACACAACCACAATGTGACCTCTTTATTTTACCCATCACCAAAGTCAGCAGGGGGCAGTGTGTGGGGATGGTGCTGTGCTCAGAGCCCCCCAGTATGTGTGGGGACAGTGCTGTGCTCAGAGCCCCCTAGTGGTAACTTGGCAAATACTCACATACATATTCTCTTCTTCCTCATTATGTATTTGACAATTATTATAATTATTAGTATAATGTACAATATAATAGGCATGAGGACCAACCACTCCTCCACCGTGTGGCCCTAATTACAGTCAACGTCTGCTTGAACTTGTGAAAGTGTGCGAGGAAACTTGCGTTTATTTCCTTCCTCGTCCACATCCTCGGCCTCTATGAGCCAGTCCATGTAGCCGACCATGTCCTCCTCCATCTGTTTGCTCTCCTGGGCCTTCTGCAGCTCACCTCGGGCCACGGCCTTCTCTCTCTCTTTGGAGAACTCTCTGCACAAGGGGAACGAACGGGATCGTGAAATTGAGCAAGAATAGATGTCAGAGAGAGATGAGAAGGTGAGACAAGAGGAGGAGGAGGAGGAGGAGGAATCACTCACCCGCTCAACACACCCAGTACCAGATTGATGATGAAGAACGACCCAAAGATGACCAGAGACACAAAGTAAATCCAGGGAATCTCAAAACCAATGGCGTCGTTCATCTGTAACGATAGTTCTGGACTGTTACCTGAACTAATTTCTGAAATAAAGAGGTCATCCAGTGAGGTCAAGTGAACATTTCTGCTCACCCAGTAGAGCACGTCTGTCCAACCCTCCATAGTGATGCACTGGAACACAGTCAGGATGGCAAAGAAGACGTTGTCGAAGTTGGTGATGCCGCCGTTTGGCCCCTCCCACTTGCCCCTGCACTCAGTTCCATTGTCAACACAAAAGCGTCCAGACCCGGCGAAAGCACAAGGTGACGGGTCGTCCTCCACCATAAGACCTGAGGCGGAGAACAGAAGGTCAGACAAGAACAAGTACGTTCAACTTTGAACCCACCTGACATTCTGACTACACACCTAAGCTCTGTTTAAAGTTTTAGCTGTTTTTGTTTCTACCCAAAGTTCTGTTCTTGGGACTCTAACTTTCTTTAGAACTGTTTGACTTCCCTTCTTATTTCTAGATCTACAGGACTTATCTTTTAAAAGAACCAGATTAAAGATACGCAGAAGCGGTGCAGAGACCAGAGACCTGTGCTGGTGTAGTAGCAGGTTTTGTGCATCCTGCCGATGAAGAGCTCCAGGCCGATGATAGCGTAGATGATGATGACAAACATGACCAACATTCCGATGTGCAGAAGAGGAACCATGGCTTTCATGATGGAGTTCAACACAATCTGTAAACCTGATGAGACAAACACACACCGCCGTCAGCTGGATGTGATCAGAACCAACTACGAACAAATACAAAGGCTGCCAAACTATTGAAATTGTTCAACCAATTATTTAAATGGTAACTGTGGATTGATCATGATTGATCATGATTAATCGAGAAAAATCAACATTTTAAGCTTGAGGTGCTTGTATAAATGACAATGTATGTTTTGACTGATTGACAGTGGAATTATTGGATATACAGTTCCTGTCATTTTGTGTATTTAATATAAAATGTAAGAAAATTTACTCTGGCCAATTTCACAAACTATCCTTAGACAGAAATAAAAAAAACAAAAACAAAAAAACAAACGCACTTGGGACTCCAGACACGAGTCGAAGTGGCCGCAGCACCCTGAAGGCTCTGAGGGCTTTGACGTCCAGGCCTCCAGGTTTCCCTGCAGCGTGATGAGCTTCTCCAGGCTTGTGATCCGTCATGGCTTCTGCTATGACACTGAACAACCTGCAGGGGGCGCAGACAACAGTTATTTACATACTGTAAACTTTTTAAAATTACGACTCAGACCTGGGAATAAAGGCTTAGACTAGACGATGCAGTTCAGTACCCAACGATGACGATGACGAAATCCAGCAAGTTCCACCCGCTGCGTATGTAGGCGCTGGGGTGCATGACTAATCCGTAGGCAAGAATTTTAGTGAAGGTCTCGATGGTGAAGATGACGAGGAAGACGTATTCGACTTGTTCCTGAAAGAACATGGGACGAAAGGAGGCTTATGCATCTATTTTGTGTCCCAGTGGCATTAAAACATTTAAATAACATTTTCATATAGAAGAAAAACAAAGAAGGAAAAAGGTTTGGGGTATAAATTTGTTTACAGGGAAATAGTCTGTGGTTACAAACAGGAGGGCCTCGGACCAACGGTGGACCTGGTCTGTCCTGGATAAAATATCATAATTTTAGCTAACGTTTCTGTTGTGGTCATTGAACACAGTGGTATTCTAACCCTCTAACCCAGTGGCTGACACGAGGTTAAGCTGTCATTAAATCTCTTTTCCTCCCTGAGCTTCTAACTTGGCCATCACTCTCCTTAGAGACTTCAAATTAAGCGAGTTTTAGTGGAAGTTCAACCTCAACACAGTGAAAAACAAGAACAAATTGATGTTAGAACGATATCAAACTGAATGATATGAACAGTTTTGAGGCCGTGAGAGACGAGAATCTTCAACCAGCATCAGATTACCTCCTGGGTGAAATCCAATCAAAGGATCTACTCATCTCTCCATCCTGCTGCAAACCTACGTCTGTCTCCTCAATATTTCCTTATGTTGAACTTTTTTTTTGGTTTTTGGTGCAACAGGAATGAAATGCAAACTTCAATTTAATTAAAAAAAAAATTGAATTGATATCTAATGGCAAACCAGGCGTTTGAGACCCTTTTTGACTCCAACTGAAGATTCCGACTTTGCTAAACGTATAAATAAAATAAATAAATTAAAAAATGAGGTCAAACCAGTCTTTGTTTTTGATGTAAATATTTTCATTTTATGCAAATCAACGTCATTTATCGATACAAATGATTGGCACAGAGACAAAGAGAGGTCTCTGCTCATCTTATAGGGTAATCAGATGAAGCAGATGGCTGCTGTAAGTTACTCATGATCCCTGACAGGGTCACCTGAGCTGAGGTCACAGGACTTTTCACCTCTAACACAGCGACGAGTTGACCTACGGGTATGTGTGGGTGAATTAGTCGACAAATGAAAACAAGACGAAAAAAAAAAAATCTGACAGGGACAAAGTCCAATCTGGGCTGAAGGAACAAATGAGGACCTCGCGCACCCCCTAGTGGCAGCTCAACCACACCATGGTTATCCCAGCTGTAAGACACTAACCACTGTCCCACAGTGCGGCCCCTGGTGTTAATATATACTGTATGTTTATGGGGTTAAAAAAACGAATGAATAAATTACACATTTTTTCCCCAACAGTGAGAAACTATAATGTTGACTTTTTATTGATTTTTCTATTTGGTTTGTTGTTTGGTTCCATGTGTTTTGATCTGTATCAAACATAAACTCACCAGTTGGTGATTAGTAGGATTGGAGTCATCATCTGGATATGGCTTGGTCACACCCATGGCCACACAGTTGGCAAAAATGGCGAGCAGAATGAAAATATCAAAGGGCCTGAAGATTGAAGTTAAGGTTAACAAGCAATTTTTTAAATATCTTGATAAACCTGACAGACTGGCACCGGAGACAGTATTATTTATATAAACACATGCCAACGGGGCAACATTTAAAGGATATTTCCACTCCACCAGTGCCAGGGCTGCCATGCGAATCGGGTTGCTGAGGGTGAGGCAGCACAGAGCTCGGGGGGCCCTGAGGGCAGACTTGTTGGCCTGCATCGCTTTCTTGGCCCCCCCTCCTCTTTTTCTGGAGGAGCCAGTCGAGCCCAGGGTGTCTGACTTGCCTCCATCGCCCCCTGGGGGGGCATCTGTACGGAGAAAAGACAACAGAAATAATATTAATAGAATCTAAAATACTGTTTTAGTAAAGTCAGTTTATATTTAAAATACCTTTACACTTTAGCATACCATACAGTTAAGGTTTCGATTCACTTAATTGCGGAATTACAGAAAAAAATAAATATACAATGACTTATGTGAAGACATTTCAGGATAATAATTATGTTTTTGACTTGCATGAAAGTAACAATACTAGCTTCCAATATAAAAAAGTAATGTACAAATACATAAAAATGCTGTTATAATGCTTCTAAAATCATATTTCAAACAAACTAGCTTTGGTCCAACATGCATGCTGTAAGTATTTTATCACCGATACCAAAGAGAAGTCATTTGATTTATCACTTAAAACACCAGAACTGTTTATGTAGTTGCAGTAACAGACAGGTAATCTGTTTGCAGGCCTCATGATATCACAGCAGATGTGACCTACTTCTTTATTGTGAGCAGTGTGGCACTTAGACCATGAAGGCCCAGGAACACCTGCCCACAGTGTCGTGCTGAGAGCAACACTGTTTAAACTGCAGGAACAAGGGTTGGAAATATGTACAGATGGGATTTTTAAATAATGCATTCTTTTCAAAATTGACCTACTTATATTACTGAAACCACACACTTAAATATACACCCTTTTTATATACTGTACTGAGTAGGTATTGTCATTGTATAGCCTGGATATTTAAGTGTATACTGTATGTATTTGCACATTCTTTAAATGCTTCACCTGACCATTTCTTACCTTTCTTCGTTGCATCCATGTCAACAGTTTATCACCACGATGGAAATCCAACCATCAACTCCTCAGCTTGGACACAAGTGGTAACTTTCAAGGCACTGGCTGCAGCCTGTCTCTTCTTCATACCCACATGCAGCAGCTCAGAGGAGAGGTCACGGGGGTCACATCCATCTCGCCACCTGCCTGCAGCACACAATCCTAAGTTTCGTGGTGAAATCTTTCGGCCTGTTGTCAAAACGTGCCACTACTTTAACAGCGTTGTGTTGGCAGACACTGGCAGTAACTGTGCTAACGAACCTGTAGCCATATCCTCAGTGGTCAGCCGTGAGGATTAGAGGCTCTGAGCCGTTTAAATGGATGACTGGAGGAAATCTGTCAGTGGGAACAAGGTGGAGATTGAGTTGAGAGAAAATCTCAGATGACATTATAGTTAAATATAAGTTATTTAGAACGAAATGTTTTAATAAAGATAACAAAAATAAAAAATTAAAAAACGGAGGAAAAAACTTGTTTCAAGATCCTGGACGGAAGCAGCACTGTGTAGTACCAAAATCCGACAATTGAGGGCGGGCTTTTACTGGAAATCGAAAGACATTACACATACAGAACTGAGTGATAGACAGACAGAAAATCAAACAGACAATTAATAGTGTTACAAAACCAACAAATTTCCAAAAAATTAACTTTTAAACCATTTAACTTTTAAATAAAAAATAAATTTCGTCACTTAACATATAAATACAGGTAAACTTACCTAACTTTTAAACACATCATTTTTTTTACCATTTACTTCACAATATTTGCCTTTATTTCTGGTATCAAAACACACAAAAACACACGTATTGGGACAACACATAGATAAAGTGACATTGCATTGATTGATAGAAAGCTGATAACAAACCTGGACAAAAATATGATTACAACAGGGACAAAAAAAGTCTCTCTGATAATCTTTATCTAAGCTGTTAGTGCAAAACATTTTTTTTATAATAGCTTATATTTTGTCTTTGGACCACCAAAATAAAGTGTTATTTGTCATTTTCAGCACTAATTATACACATTTTTGGGCAAAACCTGTATTTAGTTTGGACATTTGATCTGGTCTCCTCTGACCTCCACTGACAGGTCAGGTCGCCACAGTACCTAGTGACACAAAGGCCTGAAGGAGATGCTGGAGGTACAAACATCACACACAGATGTGTTTGTTTCTCCATCCATTCGTACATTTACTTCTTTTTGCAGCAAATTAAAGTATTTTCCTGAGTTTTCAGTTCCAAGTGCAAAACATCACCTTCACAAGTCCAGCATCTTCATGGAGTAGTACGGTGTCCACGTACTCTGTGTACTGACTCAGTAGATCCAAGATGAACCCTTACAAGTGAGAGAGATCTTAGATCCATGATGCTACAGACCCAGACCTCTATCTTTTGGAGGCAACTGACTGGGATCCTCTGCAAAAGGAGCAGCTGAAGGATCAGAGAAAAGAGAGTAGTATTTGGTTTGTTCATTTATCTAATGTGTCATTAAAGTGTGTTTGAAAATGTATCACAAATATTCAAAGCAGTTCTCTAACAGTTAAACTCACCATTTTGAAACTGCTGTGCTGTGTATCTGGTCAGAAGAATCCCAACACCCTCGATGAGAGCCAGTAAGATTCCACCCATCATGGCTGAGCCCACCATCACCAACGGCCCACCTAGACATCAAACAATTCTATTATCACAGTCATTTCAACAACTAACGTCTCCAAGAGCAAAGCTAATGTGTGTGTAATATTATATGGATTTTTCTTACTGCGTGCTGCCAGAATGGCTCCTGTCATCGCACCACTTGTTATAGAGTTCCATGGATCTTCTTTTCCTCTAATACGGACCAGGCCGCAGTCTATTGTGGAGAAGAGTCCTCCCCAAACAGCAAAGCTCCCTATAAAACCAGCAACATAAACCTGTAAGTACCAGGTACTAGGAACTTTCTGTTTTTCTCATTATCAGTCCGATATAAAAACAAACGTTTGCAAATAAAAAAAAAAAACAGACCAGTTTCTCACCTCCAATCTGTGGAGCCCTGACCCTCACTGCATTTGCACCACTTCTCAGCCTGTATCCAATGCCCTGAAAAATCAGAGTACCATCCAGGACTGCTTTTGAAAACACAGAGTATATAAGAGTGTAAACATACATTGGTTTGAACTCACTGCAGGAGCATTACGAAAGCCCTTGACAGCCTGGAACACCCCTCCACCGATTGCACCCATAGTGAAAGCACCCCCACAGTCGTCCACTATCCTCCAGGGACTACAGAGGGGCATTAAATGGAGTTATAACACACAGGTTAAACCGAATCAAAACGACATTTTATCTATTGTTTTAATATGTGTTAGCATTCTAAAGGCAGCCCACGTACATTTAATTAACAAACGAAAATGCATGTTTCATATAACTCAGTTGTTATTAATGTGGACAAACATGTCATTTATTACAAGCTATTGTTTTTAGAATACCGTAACCCCCTGCTCTACATAATATACTTTTTTTAATAAAATACTTTTTAGAGGGGCTAAGATTTTCTACTTTAACGGCTTAAATGTGACAGTATATCTTAGTAATAATGTATACTGAAGATAAACTAAGAAATAACTACTAAGAAATAATTCGTATAACTTTATGAACAGTTGTTAAAAATAGAGAGAACAGGAACGTTATTTCAAAACATTAATCTCACCAAGGTTCTCGTATATACTCCTCCATATTTGTTTTCGTCAGGAAAGGGATGTGACGTCATTCAAGCGCGACGGCCGCTGTTTGGTAACGTCGCACCGTCCACTTTTGAATCAGGTAAAGAAAAGAAAGCGTTTTTAAATATTTTAGTTAATTAAATTAATCATTTGAAGATTTCTGTTTTTACTGAAGCCTCATTTGGTTTTGTTGTTTAATTTTAAAGATGTTGCTACAAAGTTAGCGCCGGTTACCATGGCTCAAACGTGCACAGACCTGTGTCTCACGGTGCCTTTTAGAAAAAGACAGACTCTTCTTTACCCTGCGAATATTGTATAAATAACAAGTGATCAATCTTAAATACTTTTTTTTTTCACAAATAAAAACACAATCTTAACGTAGCGTGAGGGGGCAACAAGGCAGAAGAACACTACTGTCTAGGATCCTTTTTCTTCTCTTCGTTTGGAAACCTGACTAGAATTCTATTTACAAACTCACACTCCTGGGCAGCAGTGGCTATAATTCTACACTGACGTTGCTTTGAAGTGGTTGATTCCACAGTGAGCAGAGAAAAGATCATCATCCAGTCTTTTTGTGTTTCAGGATGCCTCTGCCTCCGGCACTGCTGGCCCGCTTGGCCAAGAGAGGGATTGTTAAACCAACAGAAAAAGGTAAGAAGAAACACAATGATTGGTGAAAATTTAACAACCAAACTCTCAGTTTTTTATGTCAAATCCACTTTCTTCACACAGAAGCAGATGAGGAGATTATTGCTGAAGATTATGACGACAACAACGTAGATTATGAAGCCACCAGACTGGAGAATCTACCACCAAACTGGTACAAAGTATTTGACGCTACATGGTACGTATGTTTGCCATCCTTATCAGAGTGTTATTTTGTATAGCTGTAGCTGTATTGATTTCTATACATTTCCAAATATTTTTCATATAATTGTTTCATTATTTTTCATTACTCTTTTATGTTTTTCCTCATCCCAGCGGTCTTCCTTATTACTGGAATGTAGAGACAGACCTGGTCGCCTGGCTTTCCCCAAATGATCCGTCGACTATAATAACCAAAGCTGCCAAAAAACTAAGAGGTAAGACATTATCCAGCCTCTATACCAGTGACCCTGAAATGACGGCCCCCGGTCAGCATCCAGTCTGTAAGTCGCCTATTTCTGCACCATGAGCTTAACACATAAAAGGCTGTCGTCTCCATGTCAACTATGCTCTGATTGATTGTTAAGGAGAACAGCATTTTTTGAAACTTTTGCTTTTTGATTATATATTATTATATATCACTAACTTTAAAAGCTTGCTTGCACCGTACGCAACCATGTTACGCCACTACGCCCGCTGCCGACCTATTTTTTTTCTCCAGTTTGCTTTTATTTGAATATATTCTCAGGTGTTTACGTAATTATTTTAACTTGTAGTTGAAGCTGGAGAAGAACGACCGGAGAGGCCGTTTGAGAAGATAGAAAGGGAACGCGAGCGAGAGAGAGACAGAGAGCGGGAAAGGGAACGCGAACGGGACCGCATCAGAGAACGGGACAGGGATGACGGACGAGACAGAGACGTCCGAGACAGAAGAAAGCCCAGGAGAGAAGACATTGCACCGTACAGCAAGAGCAAACGAGGTGAGGAGTTCTCTGTGCACAAGCAGTTTAACGACTGTAAACTATTTAGGAACAGAAAATGAAGAGTTCTGTTTTTTATTTCAGGAAGAAAAGATGACGAGATGGACCCCATGGATCCGAGTGCTTATTCCGATGCCCCAAGGTCGGTACTTAGCCAGATGTTCTTCCTCAGCACTTTTATTATTGCTTCTACATAAATTTTGAAACTTGCAGGAGCTGAGCCAGAAAAGCAGTTTAATATCGTTGCCCTGAATTTGTTAGTCTTAAACTGATTTTTTTTTTTACATTACATGTATACACTGCAGGTATACTTTTAGAAAGTTTTATCACATATGACACCTGCAGCAGATATGAGAACATCAGAATTTGGACAGATGTCTAAAAACTTGGTTAGGCTAATACTGATGCTATGTGATTAACTTCACCATGACAAGCAATTATTTTTTAATTTAAATGTCTGTCAAAATGAATACATTAACCAGGCTGTATGTCTAATTTATTAAAGCAAAATTAATTTCACATCCTTAACTAAAATACACTATGGGAGTTATCACCCTATAATTTTATGGTCTACTTTTTACCAAAGCAATGTATCATACTTTACCTTTGAAACATTAAGTAGATGTTCTAGAAGGTTCCAGCTCAGAAAGCCTTTTCCTTTTTTTTCTCATATTACTGTTTATATTATCTTTTGTTACATCCTCATTCTTTAACACACATCACTGTAATAACATCAGGCTTTATTTCTCCATCATCTGACGAGGGCTGAGCCACAGATCACGCTGCTCAGCTCTCATTACAGGATGAGTCATTGAAACGCTGTCCATTATCCCTGACACCGGGGAGGAAAAGCCACTCGGCAAATTTATTGCTCGATATTGCGATAGTGCATTTATTAAAACACACATTGATCTTCACAGGGGCTCGTGGTCTAGTGGTTTGCCCAAACGGAACGAGGCCAAGACAGGAGCAGACACCACAGCGGCTGGACCTCTGTTCCAGCAGAGGCCGTACCCGAGCCCTGGAGCCGTGCTTCGGGCTAATGCTGCTAACCAAATCCCTAAAGAGTAAAGAATGGTGCCGCCAGGGAGAAGTCTTTCATCATCTTCACTTACTCTTATCCACTGATTTTTTTTTTAACTTTTCAAATGTGTTAACCTGAAAATCCTCTCTCAGTACCTTCATGTTAAACTGGTGTACATATGTTTTTATAGACCTAAACATTGACTCTTTTGTTCTGCGCTCAGTTGTAGTTGTGTTTATTAATAAATGTAAAAAAAACAACCTATGAAAGTCCTTAGATGCATGTTTTATTACAAATTTCTCATAAAATTAAAACCATAATCTTCTTTGACAGTTCATGAATACTACAAAAAATACACATTGCCACATGATGATAAAAAACAACTGATGATAAATAGGAGAACACGTTAATGTTCAGCTGCTCCCACGTAGTGACATATGGAGTCGTAGTCCAGCGCAAACACCTTCTCGTATCGATGAAGCTGAACTATCGCTTTGCACTTGTTCTTGTCCCGTTGAAGAATATGGCCGATCTGAAGAAAAAAAATCAATGTGAAGAAATGATGCATTATGTTATGATTACAGTCAATTCTATGGAACAGGAAAATGATCCTGATCTGGACTCACCTGACCTCTGTGTTCACCCAGCACAACCATCACAGAGTCAGATTCACCTTTAGGGACAATGGTTTCCAGCATATCCTGCTTCACATCTGCAGCCACAAGGAAAACAGTTTGGTAATTATCTTCATGTTTAAACAGACAGAGTAATATATATACACATACATACATACATATACGTATATACTGTATACTGTATATGTGTATAAATATATATATATTACATCAACTTGTAGGAATACCTGACAACCACACCTCAGTTAGTTATCAGATGTGTTTATTTTAACAGCTCTAATTAGTGAGTTCACACCAAAGAACGCTGGGCTCGGTACTAACGACCTACCGTCCAGGAGTCTTCCCTCTTCGGTGCGACACACACAGACAGATGGTGTCAGAACGTCCTCTACACACATCTGGGAGAGAAACCAAACAGACGTTAATATCAGTCACAACAAGAATAATTCACCACAGGATACACAGAAAACGTAGCAAACAGTTCCAGCTCCAGAATGAACTAACAAATTAAAACTGCAGAAAATAGTGCATATTCATACTGTATATTTCCATAAGAAAAACTGCATTATTTACTTATTTACTAAAACTGAATTTTTCTGAATATTTAGAAAAGGAAAAAAAAACTCTTACATATGATGTACATGTTAGTACCTTTGAGTTGTAGTATCGGCCCCCTTTAAAAGTTCTATCTATAAAACGAACTTTTAAATCCCTCTGTAGCCAGCAGGGCGGGGCTGGAGTCTTCCTGGCTTCTTTTATTGGAGGGCTTCTCTCTACAAGAAAAAACAAAAACAAAAACTTAATCCAGCACACAGAGGAAAAACAACATTGCACTTCTTTATTTTTTGGTTATAAACACACCTGTCCTGACTGGATTCTCGATGTTTCCTCTTCCTGTCGTCTTTATCCGACGACCTGTGTTTTGCTCCGTCACTCCGCCTCTCTTTCTCCTCCTGTCTCTGTTTCTCCTTTTCGCGTTCCTTCTCCTTCTCCTTCTGCTTCGCCTTCTCTTGTTGCCTTTCCTTGTCTTTGTGAGCTTTACTGAGTCGACCTGCAGGGAGAACAAACAAACAAACAGTGTCATCTGATTGGTTTATTTCAATATGCAAAAATGTCTTATTTTTGGTTTTAGGCGCAGGTATAAAAATAATCTGTGGATTAATTATTCCGTCATCTTGGTTTTTTTTCCCCCAGAGTCATTTCTGGCTCAGTCAATCATTTCATTACAGATGAATCAGCCGCTGATTACCTCAATTAATGATTGTTCTATAAATAGTCAAGAAAACAACCTTACATTTCCAGAGTCTCATCATAGAGACAGAAAACTAACACAAGGAAAATACTAGTGAAGTTATATACACATATATAAATACATACATTTGAATTATATATTATGTTATATATGTACACACATCCATTTATTCATATATGTATATAGTATATGTACATATACCTATTATTCATATATGTATATAGTATATGTATATATACCTATATATACATACGTATATGGACATATGTGCATATACATATGTATATACATGATCTTTTCTGTTACAAAATCCAAATCTTACTAAAAAATGTTACTCACTGAGGTCTTTGCTGTACTTCTCGTATTCCCCGCGTTCGACCAGTTTCATACAGTACTGGCTGATAGTTATAGTCTTTCCACCGATGGCCAGCTTCACCACAACACGAGCGTTGTCTGGATCGAGGCCTTCGATCTGCCCCACAGTAAACACTGAGTCAGAAAAACCAAATAGAAACAGAAGAAGAAGACACGAAGAGTGGAGCTCTTTTCAGTACCTGTCCGTACAGATCCTTATGAACCCCCGACTCCACCAGAACAAACCCTCCTGGGCCCAGGACTAATTCCTTCTCTCGCTGTTCTCCTGGTTTGGGCGGTCGCTTATGTTTGGTGGGCTCCAGGTCCTTAATTGCCGAGCGGTTCGCTCCAAGACCCAAACCCTTTGGACGCAGCTGGTGTTCAATTGGCTTCACATCTCTGTAGAGGACAGGAAGATCAGGAAATGAAAAAACAAAAACAAAGCAGACATTATTATGATCCTAAATTTCCAGAGGGATTAATAAAATTCTCGTTATCTTTTTTATAATAATAATAATTGGTGTATTATAATTTTAGTCTAGTTTAGACAGAGGTTCCATATCCTCCAGTCCTTTTAACCACTTAGTTTCCACAGTTAAATAACACAAAACTGAACAAATACCTCACCATACCTGACATGTTTTTTCATTTTACCAAATCATTCTGTAACACATGACACAGTCACAGCAGCAAATACAAAACAAATCAACAGCAATGTCAGAAAAAGTCAGCAGAGTTAGTTTCTTACTGTTTGAAGGTTCGTCCGATGCCTTCACTTTTCTTCCAGCCCATTCCCTTCAGCATAGCGAGTCCATACGCCTCCACAGGAATACTCTCATAATCTGCCTCTGTCGACTGAAACAGAACACGGGTGTCTATGAAAAACCCGAGTTATAAATCACAAATAGGTTTTATACAAAGAAGCAGTTCGTCTCCGTCAGCCTCCGACTGCTGAGGCTGATCAAAGTCAGCAGACAGCAGCCCCGGTCAGAACAGTGGCCCGGCCCATCAGAGACCTTCTGAGAGCCAATCTGCATCAGAATGAGCTCCGAACAGTCAGGAAGTCTCCCGTGAGTCTCCTGTTTCTGACAGACACATCAGCCGTGATTGAGAGCAGATGTGTGATGACAGTGACGGGCTGTGCCCGGCCTCTGAGAAGAGGAAACGGGGATTTGACTGGCTCTCTGCACGTCTCTGAGGACATAGCTGAGGCCTGTCTGCCACCATACATCCACAGTGTACTGACACAATCCTCTGTTTTCACACACGGCGTGTTGTCATACTCGGCACTTCCTTCTTTCACATGATTAAAGGTCGATATCTGACGAAAAAACAAGCTTTGTCAACTTAGGAGTGTAAAAACTTTTATGATTTTGCAGGTCCAAAAAAAAGGCTTTATTTGTTTCCATCTAGACAAGGGGTCCGCAACCCGTGGTTCCTGAGCCACACACGGCTCTTTATCCCTTTGTGCAAATGGCCCTCTGCAACAGTATGTCAATATTTTTTATATATATATATATATAAGAAGTAGAAAATAGAAGTGGCTACTTTTTTTTAGAGAAAAATCAAAGCTAAGCCAATTTGACATATCTTGCTTGCTAACAGCAAAAGAAAGAAAGATTCCTGCAGCAAGTTAGATATACATTTTTATTTTGGGGGGCACATGGTGTCAAAAGTGGTTACCATGCTTGTCTAACAAGAAAATTGTGGTTCAATTCCCCACGTTTCTGAATGGCATTCAACTAATTCCCACTGGGTAATCCTGTTTCCTCCCACATTCCAAAAATATGCTTAAATAAATGAAAAAATCTAAAAACAATTATTGGAATAATAGACCATTCAAATAATTTAATACTAAACAATTTGCCGGAGAATCGTACTCACAGATTCAGGCCGTAGATCCACTTTGATGAGCTCTCCATCCTCAAAGCCTTCAGGTGCCTTGTTTTGCATCAATAAAGGGATGGAAAGATTCGGGTCAATTTGTGTCTGGGGGCCATTCTGCCACTCCTCCAGCTGCCTCCGTGTATCTACAAGAGTAAGGTGGTCAGAAAACAGGGACTTTATTTAAAAGTCTAATTTTTTATTAAAGCTTGACAAATACAAACATTACAGAAGCCAAACACCTTTAGTGACATTTTTCTCTGCTGACAAACTGGACCCATTACTGACTGTATGTGTGACATGTTGAACATTTTTGATTCATGTGACTCATGAATGTGACTTCACTTCCAAATTCGGCAAAACGGACCGACGCAAATATGCATAATGGTTTAAAGTCTCTAAGTAGACGTTGGTAGTTGGACTTCCTTGGTTGACTTGGACTAAAACCTTTTGGTGTTCTGTAGTAACAACTAGCATGTAGAGCTACCTACCTTCTATGAGCTCCTTGACAGCCTGAGACTCAACAGAGTCCTGCTCTCCTATCGTCTCCTCACGTTTTCCGCCTTTGCCCTCACTCTTGTCCGTTCGCTCTATCTTCTGCCATCGGTTCTTCTGGATGAGAGGGATGATGAGTTCTTTGGGCTTCTCTGACGGTTTTGTACTTTACAACGGACAAAATACAGGGGAAAAAACAATTACTCAGAGTATAGACACAGTTAAATTAAACTTTAATAAACGCAGTGTCGTTAAAACAATTCTTGAAAGACTACGTTTACACGTTAACGTAGGGTTTACGTTTGATGTAACGCCAGCGTTTGGTGCATAGCATTAGCATCTCATGCTTACCTCTGTAATTCTTTTCCAGCGATCCCTGTCAAATAATCTTTGTCTTCGTTTTTATTCAAAGCGTCACCGGTGGTAGGTTTAAATTTATTGACTGTTTTAGTGAAGCTAAACGACACTGCGGCTGCTTTTTTGTCTTCTGGTTCGGCATCGATGTCTTCTGTGTGCGACGCCATGTTTGTTTGAAATCAAGTTCAGAAGAAAGGCATTCTGGTAGTTGTAGTTCTCTACCCAAGCCCGCCAACCGTAAGCAGTAAAGTTAGTTTTGAATGCATACAATTCCCATTAATCATCAGAATTAAAACAACTGGCAGAAAAATGTAAAACTTTAGTTCCAATACGGCAACAAACTGATTAAGAAAGTCAAATGTAATTACATTTACGTAATTTTGAAATCGTGCCACATGTAAATCTGTAAGTTACTTTATAACTTTATTTATGTTCCATGTACATTATGGTCTGTTGTCTCATTGATCTTTTTAGGCTACGTTAGGCTAAACCATTAGCTAGCCAACGTTTACATTTTATAGTGCAAATAAAAAATGGGTCAGTGTAAATAAATGAACATTTATTTATTTATAATGAAGAAACCTTTACAATAACAATTAATTATTGATTGAATTTTAAATTGGCAGTAAATTATTTCCTACGTTGTGCTCAAAAGGCTACAGGCTACATGGGGGTGAGCGCCGGGACAGTTTTGCCTCACCTGGGGCTCGTTAAGTTTGAACCGAACTCACAATTTTACAACCTTCTGGTCCGTGTGACCTTGCTGCAAGAATACTGCAAGTTCGGCACCGAGGAAACTCTCCTCCCACGGGTTGTAACTCGTAAGCGAAAAGTGATGCTGCTGCTGATGCAGATGGAGAACGAGGGAGATAGAGGGGAGAGAGAGAGAGGGGGAAACGAGGGCTGCTACTTTTAACTCTTCTCTGTCGTCCCTCTTACAACAACTTCCCTCCGTTAAACCGTTACATCTGCCCCATGCTGCCGAGCATCTGGAGCAGCTTTCACCTAAAACTCTTGCTTTGGGTGGTGGTGGAATCTCCGGCTGCGCTCCCTGGAGACACCGCCTGCATCGTAGTCACACCTCTCCCCGGTAATCACACTTGAAGCACGGGCGTTTGTCTTTTCTCTTACACCGCCGGTGCTTTTAGATTTGTAAAGGCACTTTTTCAATTTTTATTTTTCTAAATACCTGAAACCTATTCACCTGCCTTTGCAGATCTTAAACTGACAGCAGGAGGACGACTGGAGGACAGATAAAGAGAGGACCATGACGGTAGGAGACGCTTGACCTATTATTCAGTCTGCTCAAGTTAAAACTGGTGAAAGTGTCATTTTTGGGGCTTTGATCGATGACTTCGGTGTTCACTTGCATCTATTATTTGCCTTTGCCTCAAAAGTAGCAGCTAAATTTAACATGTGAACGGATAGTCTCTCTCCCCTCCCTCCCTCCCTCCGACTCTCCCTCCCTCTCTCTCTCCTTCTCTCTCTCTCTCTCCGAGCATCACTATAGTCCAAGTATCCCGTCTGCCGCTCACATCCTCTCTGACTCTCTTTGGGATACTGATGCGAGCGGCTCGACCCTGACTCCACAGGCTGCTGCCTATTTTTTTCCCCCCAAAATTAAAATCATAAACATAAACATCAGCATATCAGTTCAGTCTTTTCGGTCTTACCAGTTGTTTCACCTGAGTGGGATCAATGTATATAGACGCGTTCAAACGGATCCTCTTTGAAAGGCTCAGCTGCCTGAAGAGAATGTGTGTGTGCCAGCGCCAAGGCAGGTCAGTATGGTACCAACAGTGGACGTGAGTAACACGAGGGAAGTGTTCTGCGTGTTTGTGCACGTGTGTTTGTAGAACGCGGTTGTGTGTGTATGTACCAGTGTCAGTTTGATGTGTGTGTGTGTGTGTGTGTACTATACACTGTGACTAAGTGAAGTCAAGAGTGTGTTTGGTGATAATAGTGGCAGATCTTAAGGATAAGAGTGTGATGTTGACAGATGAAGAACACACTGTTTGACACCAGGGTGGTGTGTGTGTGTGTGTGTGTTTCTCGTAGGGCTGTTCCCATTAGTTTGTCCAACATCGGTCAGTGTCTCTGTTGTCGGCCACTGTCTTCACCTCAGCGTCCGATTGTATCTGGGTATTTATGGACAGACAGACTTGGACAGTAGCAGAATGGACGGCTTTGAATGTAGTAATTGAAGTAGTAAAATAATCAATTCATACAAAGTACCACACACAAGTATCTATGCACCAAATACTAAATACTTGAATCACATGTTAGTATTTTACAATATGCCAATTCACAACTGTAACTGAAAATGTCACATTGCACAGTCACTCTGTGTATTGACACCTTTAAACCTTATAAAATGTCAGATAATCCATTTAACATTCAAGTTTAATCAAATGGCTTTTCTTCAAGTATGAAAGTACAGAAAAATAAAGCAGATCAAAGGGCTTGTTATGTAATTCTCAAAAAACATTATTATTATTAATATTGTTATTTATTGATATATTTAGCTTAAAAGCACATTTTCTGTGAAAAGATTGTAATAAGAGATTTATTTAGAATTATTTTAATATAAAAACATTCAATTGCAATTTATCTAATATTTTTAATTTAATGTCTTGTGTCCCTGGGATATAAATAATGAATAAACATCTTCCAAATAACAAACTAAAACCAGTGTTATTATAAATGTATCTACCTTCCAAATAACAAACTAAAACCAGTGTCATTATAAATAATGTATCTACAGAATTTAAAAAAAAGTTTTAATCCTATTTCTACTTATTTATATTTGGTCATTATACTGTCAATGCTTTTGGAAGTAGATGATTTTTTTTTTTGCCAACCAGGATGTCCGGGCTTCAATCCCAGGCATCACTTGTCTCCAGTATGGGTGAAAGAAAGAAACACTTCAGCTCGTGTCTCTCCTTCTACCCAGTTGGTTCCAGGATAATTAGTGTTGGGCACCAGATGTTGAAACCAGTGCCAAATCATGGATATGAGGAATATCATTGGTGCATCTTGTAGCGAAGGACGACTGAAAGAAACAAAGGCAGAAGATAAACCCAGGTTATATTCACATCCACTGACTCTGTGACAAAGCAGAATTTTGTTTAATTACAGAACAGATGTCTTGATGACATGATCTCCTATTGGTTGAGTTTCTTTAAGGTCTTCTGTCACAGTGACGTTTACCTTATTGGTCAGTTTATCCACTTGGTCCCAGATATAATTTCATATAAAGGATTTCATGAACTGATGATGTCAGAGACTATAAACGACTAAATCCTGCTGAGACTTTGGTTGAGCTCCGTTTGTTAATCTGCACTGATTGTTTTTCTTCTTCTTTTTTTTTCTCTGCTGTGTATATTTTTCACGCTCCCTGCACCTGTGCCCTTTTTGCCATCATAAATAGAGGAAGAGGCAGAATGTGCTGTTCACTTCGCTTTTACCCAGGTGTGTGTGCATGCATGTGTGCAGGACTTCGCCCGAAGGCTCTGTCTGTCTGCGTGTGTTTGTGTGTGTGTGTGTGTTTTGTTATCGTTTGTTTATGGGTGGGTCCCAGTTTGATACAGAGAGGTTGTTTAGAAGTGATGGATGTGTGACCCTGACTTAACGGTGCACGTTGCTTTGGGTTTGTGGCGCTGTCAAGGTTATGCTGTTGTATTATGAATCATTCATTCGCTGGGAGACAGGAAGAGCCATGTGGCTTTTGACTGTCCACACTGAGGCTCACATGCTGCTCTCATTTTCACACACTGGGCTTTTTTTTTTTTTTTCCTCCTGTCTCATCACTGAGCCCAGCACCTGTTTTGCTGCGGGCAACGCCTTCAGGGTTTCATCTGTGTTTGTCCCCCTTTTTTTTTTTTAATAACAGTCTTCCAGACCTAGCTGCAGCTAGCAGGGAAGTGGAAAAGCATGTCGTCGCACGAACACGGCTCTGTGTTCACTGCAGACGGGTCAGGAGGATGGAGTGAGGAAACGTTTTCCTGCTCAGTCCTAGTGGGTCACGTCAAGAAGGGAGATTGTCTAATTATGTACCTCCTGTGTCCTTCTGCGTCATGCATATTCATGTTGCTTTTAAGGTGCGTGTGTGTGTGTGTGTTTTGTCAACTATCCAGGTCATTTCTGGAATTATTAACATTTTAAGACAAGTGGTTGATAATGAATCAAATGTAGTTTTATGTTATTAGGCCGGAGGCGGCACTAAACATTTCACTGCAAACCTGAATGGACAACAGATATGTTGACAAACGTCAAAGCTGTGTTTGTTGTTTGTTGATCTTAGTTCTTGTTCGGATTCTGTGCATTTGAGGGCTCGCAGCGCACTACCTCCACCTGTAGGTGGTCCCGTATCAGGGGTTACCACAACGTGTCATCCACATTGTCTTATTGGCACCGTTTCACACCAGATGCCCTTCCGGATGCTACCCTCTAACTTTATTAGGGCGAGAGAGAGAGAGAGAGACAGACCCGGTGCCACACGTCCAAACCCTGGACCATCTGACTGGTGGATAAATTAAACACCCACTGACCCAGGGTCAGCTGTTTAAGGACCGGTGTTTCTAATGACCCTGATGAGACTGAACCACATTTTGAAATTGTTATAACAGAAAATCAAGTTTTTTAGTTTTAAGACCATGAAGTGGCAAATGATCATATGTCCCATTAGTGGGGCCCGCCCCACACTTTGAGAACCAGTGGATGAAGACATGCATTTATAACAGTTTAGGGAAGGGTTTAGGGGATGCATTATGTCTATGTGAGGACCTCACAGCCACCTTAAACCAATCTGTGTGTGTGTGTGTGTGTACCCTGGCAGGGCAGGGTCATGGAGAAACACTCTCCCATCTGTGCTTCAAACCTTTGCTCGCGGTCACACAATTTGGATTCTGCAGTTGTACTTTTTTGCTCTATTCTTAGTTTCCAGCCTCTTAAGGCGGAGTCTGACCAGGAATTTAAACAAAAAAATGAAAAACATGACATTTCCGTGCTGGGCTGATTGCTTAAGATTCAATTTGGATCGACTGAGCTGCCGTTAAGTGGTTAGACTCTAGCCTAGGTAGCAAATCGATAAACAATCAATGATAGTGTGTGTGCGGAGTTGAAATTTACACACTGCCATATTTGAAATGTCAAGAAGGCCATGAATCCATGTATCCTTGAGTCAGATCGGAGTTGGACAACTGGGATCAATATCAGGTGGTGAGACAGGCAGCAGGAGCAGGAGCAGGAGCAGGGTCACCTTCACCTATCCCTCCTGAATCAGCACTATCTCTCGCACACACCCACACACTCACACACGCAAATGCCTAATTGGGTTACATAAATAGGACATTGCACATTTGTTAATTATAGTTTATTGAAGAGTTGGTAAACACAGATAATTCCGGCTCCGTCCCAGAGCTGCTCTTCGAAACCGTAGACTCTCTGTAGGAACTGGACACAGCTGTTCCACAGCAAAGGGTGACGCTGCAAAAATGTAAATAAAAGTCACTGCAAATTTGAACGAATTCTCCCCCAAAATTCTCCCCTAAATGTTTATGACATCAACAATCGTTTGTCAAATGTTAATGTAAATACATAAATCGGAAAATTTCCAAATATGCTTGATTATGTTAATGTAAATACATAAATCGGAAATTTTCCAAATATGCTTGATTCGCATGATTGTTGTATCGCTAGTTTCACACAAAATGACCTTCCAAATTAAACCATCAATTTAAATGGAAGAAGGTAGTGAGACGTGCTATGATGTATGGTTTGGAGACAGTGGTTCTGTCTGATGGATAAAAGAGGGTGGAGGAGATGAAGAAGCTGAGATCTTCACTGTGAGTGACCAGATCAGAGGGACAGTTAAGGTGGAGCAGTTTGGAGATACAGTTAGAGATGTGGGGTGGAGGTGGTTGTTGATTTATCAGACAGTTGGTGTTGGAGTGTTGCCAGGCAAAAGGAGAAGAGAAAAGACCTTTGAGGAAACTTCTGGATGTAGTAAAGGAGGACATGGAGACGGTTGGTGTAACAGTAGAGGAGGTTATGATGAGGTGGAGGAAGACGATCTGCTGTGACAACCCCCGGAAGGAGCAGCCAAAAAAAAAAATTGCAAAATTGCCTTGCAATCTCATACGGGGCCTGTGCCCCTCACCTTGGGAACCGCTGCTATAGAATAAAAGGTCAATTTGTAAGTTATGGACAGAAAAGAGAGAAAATAGAAGATGGAAAAGGTGAACACCGCCTGTGATTGACAGCCGAGTTGTC